GATTGTCTTCCATAAAACACGGTTTTAACAATGAGTCCATAGGTGACTGTGGAGGCCAATTCTGGATCCACACGTCCTTCCACAGTGGGGACATTGGTTTCCAGGTGGGAGTTGATCACTGTGTGGATTTGCCAAGCGTGCCTTCCTCTTAGTACGTTTCTCCCTTGCGTCCTGAGTTCGAGTGTCTTCAAAGCCCATGACACCTTTGGTAAAGGCTGTTCTCCAACTGGAGCACTCGCAGGCCAGTGTTGCCCAGTTGTCAGTGCTTATACTACATTTTTTATGATTTGCCTTGAGACAGTCTTTAAACATCTTTTGTTGACCACCAGCAACATATTATAGTATATAAATATAATGATGATGATCCTGATCTGTGATAATCTGGACCCAACCCAGATCTGGCCCTGCACAGGATTGAATTAGGGTCTCAAATGCAAATTCAACATGTGGTCAGGAGGGGGCTGTACCTGCCTGCCTTCATCTCTTTTTCCCCTCCTTGCCATCTGACAACCCCCTCCCTCCCCAGTTTAACAGCCCTGGTGAGAGGATAAATTCCTAGGCAGGCATGCCTCTGTTTCTGCACTTGCTGGGTCAACCGCAATGCAGGTAAAACTTCTGTTACCATCTTCCTGCTTTGCTTTGCTACTGCTCTCCCCTGAAGGGAGAGGTATGATGCTACAGTAGAGCCTCACTGGAGGACATTGGACCCACCCACCACTGATTTGTAATAGCTGGCCTTGACACCAAACTTCTGGGTAGGGTGGGGAGGTTAAACGAGGACACTTGCTGCTTCAATGTGAATGATTCTTGGACTAGCAGATGGTTGAAGTCTTGTTTATTTGCTAATTAGTGGGTCAGAGTATTGCTTTGTTTATTATTTGATTATTGTTAATGTTGTTCGCTACTATTTATACAGCTGGTATTTTTTCCCCTCTCCCCCCAGGATGCTATGTTATATGAAATAGTAATGTATTACAGTACATGATTATCCTCCTTTTCCCCTTATGGTATTATACATCGTATATTTTTCGTTGCTGTAAGTCGCTTAGAGACCTTTGGGTGACAGATGACTAATAATTTTAATAAATACTGAAGAGTAATTCTGAGTGGGCCTGAGCCAACACAGGACAATCCGAGACTTCCTCAGCTGACTCCTGCCACCAACTTTTTGTGGTTAGGAAAGTGGGGGATTGTGCTGGGAAGTGGGGGGTGAATTAATGATTAATAGGGCAGGTGCATAAATGCCACAAAAGCAAATTGGAATGAATGCTCCTTGTTTATTTATTTATTAAATTTATATACCGCCCTTCACCCAAAGATCACAGGGCAGCTTGCAATATAAAAACACAAAAATGCATAGTGTAATAACAAATGAAACAATATTGGTCCACTGTGTGTGTGTGTGTGTGTGTGTCTGTGTGTGTGTGTGTATGGGTTTATAAAGAAAAATACAAAGATTATTATTAAATATCTTTCTTTTTTTTTGGACCAAACTAAAACATTAATCTAAAGGCAAAAAAAGGAAGGGAAGGAAAGGATAGGATAGGGGAGAAAGGAAAAGAGAGATAAAGAAATAGAAAAAAGGAACAGAAAAAGATTTGTGTGTGAGAGAGAATTAAGAAGCTAAAAAACTTCCAATACTTTGTCTGTCCACTATATAAGCGCACACACACCCAGTTCTAAAAGTCATGAATTGTTTAATTAGCCAAAAAATCCCAGCAAAGAAATTAGGATCGATGCTCACTAAAGTGTGGGTATAGTCTAACCTCCCTGAAAACTTTATGCAAGCAACTCAGGATGCATGCTTGATAAACCAGTCATATGGAAAAGCGAACAGGCTGCTGTACCATTTAGCCCTGGATTGTCCACTTGGACTGGCGACAGCACTCAAGAGCCTTGGAAACAGGTCTATTCCAGCACTTGTTACCTCAGATTCTTCAACTGGAGATATTGGGGATGGAATCTGGGACTTCCAGTTTGCAAAACATGTGTTCTGCTGTTGAGCTCCGTTGCTGCCAGGCATGGAGAATCTTATGTCAGTTTTCAGTTCATGCCTGTTCAAGTCACCAGTGCGCACAAGTACAGACATTTTTAGGCAATGGTACCAATCACATCATGATTCTTTTTGTGCATGTGCCCTCTGGTTTTATCTGCGTGCATATATGTGCCTTGAAGAAATCACGGAGCAAAAAGGAATCCTGATGCAATTTGTGCCATCATCATATCGATACCGCCCCCCCATGGTCGGTTGATTTAATATTTGGTTGGAAGCTGCCCAGATGGGCGGGGTATAAATAAATTATTATTATTATTATTATTATTATTATTATTATTATTACTATTACAGGGCGAGTTCCTGCCCCCCAGTGGAAATAATGACACATGACACAATTATTAAGCTTAATGGGCTAAATAAGGCCACAACTTTATTGGTTACAGGTGATGAGCAGTATTGGCTTAGGCATTGGTCCTAACCGACTATATCTGACTTTAGCCCATCTGCTTGAAGTCCGGGAAGGGTTAACCACCAGTAGGGGGAGTCCTGCTGATGCACATCAGCTAAGAACTCCCCTGGGATCACCGCTCGGGGGCGTGCCTTAGGCCCTCACCTCCCCAGGCTTTGGACAGGGCCACACACCCCAGAATCCTTTATCAGACTACCCTTCAATATGCGGGACAGGTGATGGTGCTATCTCCCCTCTTCCATTTACAGAACAATACCAATGCCTAACCGCCAATACCAAGAAAGTTGTGATGATTTGCTATGAGGTAGGCGAAAACCAAGTGGCTGGTGCCAATTTGCCAAGTGGAAGAATTCCTACCAGGCCCCTCAAACGGCGACCAACCAAGGTCCATAGCAAGGTCAAGGAACGAAAACCTTATAGGGCAGGAGGGTGGGAAAAACCGGAACAGCTGATTGGCTGGCCAGGGGGTGACGTGGCCGGGAATCCTCCCAATCACATGGGGGCTGGGCTCCAGCTGCCGCGTGTGTGGTAGGGCCGTGAAGCCCGCAACGCCACCTCCTCCGTAGGGTGGAAGTGGCTTTATTATCAATGTACACAAGCACTCATGCACATCAACAACTTACGAATCAGGAGGGGCAGAGATGTGTACAGAGAACTGTATCAAACTGTCTGTACATGTGGCCATTTCATTTTCTGAAAGAACCCCTCCAAGCTACACAGGAGGAGTGAGACATGTTTTCATGGAATAACAATGAAACTGGACCGAGGCTGTCCACCCACCCAGGATATCTGTACTTTGGGATGGGAAAGCACTTAAACAGATCATTCACAACAGAGACAGAGGCCTGTGTTGTGAAAACTTTTTCTTTTTCTTTTGTGGCTCAAGAGTCCTTATGGAGAGTCCCGAAAGGCAAAAAATATCTACCAGAATCAAGGAGCAGGTTTCCACACATATCAGGATTTATTTATTCCTAAAGGTATTTCTGTGTCACCATACCATAAAACATCCAGTGTGTATAATGATAAAACTTAAGGCACCATTAAAAACAGTACAAGATGATCATTAAATTGACTGGCTGATCGAAAATGTTTCAAACAGCGGTATAGGTTGTTGCGTCAGATTAGCCATATTGATTTGTATGCTTTGGGGGCGGGAGATAGGTCATTGTCTTGAGATAAATGGGAGCTGCATGAATGCAAACGAACTGTGAAAAAGACTCTATGAATTGAAAGTGGAGACACTATATGCAGTTTTCTTCATTTACTTGCTCATTTGTTACACAAGAACATCTTTAACAAAAACTACTTTCTTATATAAAAACCACACCCAGTGATATAGGTCAGTCCACAGAAAGATGTCTTCAAGAGAGGCATGGAAGTCAAAAGCAAGGGTGCCTGCCAAATCTCTGTTGGAAGGGGGTTCCAGAACATGGGACCAGTGACGCTAAATGCCTGACTTCTTGCTGAGGCCAGTTGGGCTTCTGTGACACGGGGGACAACTAGCCACACTCTTGCAGAAGATCTCAGGGAACGAGCTGGAGAAAAGGGGTTGGGGATGGACAGATATCTCAATTTCGGTTTCTCTCAGGTTCTGCCAATCTGATGTATTTGTTACATCTATATCCCACTTTTCCTCCAAGGAGCGCAAGGTGGCATTCATGGTCCTCTGCCCCCTCCCCATTTTATTCTTACAATGAGTCTGCAAGGTAGGCAAAGTCCTCCCCACCTCCCCTGTATTCTGCTCTCTTTGATCAAGCCTCCCAGATGTTCTGTTATCCAGTATGTGTGTGTGTGGGGGGGGGTGTATTGCTGCTGTTGTAGTTTAGCTGCATTGCTCCCAGGCAAGTGCATCACTACATCCTTCTCAGAGTAACTGTTTGCTCTCTAGCTGTAATTACTAGCAATTTTTTAAAAAGAACAAAATAAATTTAAAAGGATTTCTTTTAAAAAAACACACAAAAAAACAGAGATTACAAAGAAGTGCCGTATAATCATCAGGAAATGGGTGTTTAGGAAATCATTTTCAAGTGAAACCATTTTGAAAACTGCATGGCTAATGTAAAATAGCTGCACAATGAGAACACACAGAGGCTGGCAGAACAGGGCAGATGCTTGCAAGAGTCTCAACTGCATTGCATCAAAACCCATGGCAGAATTCCTCTTCTTTTGAGTGGAGGTGAACTGCACCTTTAAGGGGGTGGAATTATGGCACAACTACCATGTTACACACAGAGAGATGCAATGCAGAGGAGACCCAACTCAGTGGCAGAGCATCAATTCCCAGCATCTTCAGGTATGTCTAGGCAAAGACTCATGTGAATCTCTGAGGATCCCATTGGCCTCCTGTGTGCAATCCTGAGTTACATGGACCAATGGTCTGAGTTAGTTAAAATGAACAAACAAACAAACAAACAAAATAAACACCCCTCACCTTCCTATGCCCTGGAGAACCACTACCAGTCCATATAGGTGACACTGAACCCATCATCAGACTCAGTATAAGGCAAATTTCTGTGCTCCTATCTCTTAAGGGAAGGGCCATAGCTCAGTGGAGGAGCACCTGTTTTACATGTAGAAGGTCCAGGGTTCAAATCCCTGGAATCTCCAGGTGGGGGCTGGGCAAAGACTCCTTTCTCAGTCACTAGATAGTATCATCTATGCTGGCAGGCAGTGCCTGAGTTTGATGATCTGACTTTGTATAAGCTAGCCTCCTGAATTTCCAGCAAATCTTTCTCTTCTCTTCTCTTCTCTTCTCTTCTCTTCTCTTCTCTTCTCTTCTCTTCTCTTCTCTTCTCCTCTCCTCTCGTCTCCTCTCCTCTCCTCTCCTCTCCTCTCCTCTCCTCTTCTCTTCTCTTCTCTTCTCTTCTCTTCTCTTCTCTTCTCTTCTCTTCTCTACCTGCAGTTCATTGGTCCTAGATCCCAGACCAAATCAGGCCAATTTGGCGTGGGAGATCCAGGCACTGCTTGCCTTATGTTGATGGAGCCTCAGATTACAGGTCAGTTTGGATGGGCCTGGGTGACCCAGGGCTGCCAGGGGTGTATAGAAGGGGGGGAGTCATTGGGTGGGACACCACAAAAAGTCTGAGAGGGACCCTCCTGACTGGCTGCATCTCCCCAGGAGGTAGGAGAAACTGGTTGGTTGTTTCCCACCTGGCCTCTCCTTCGCCCAGCTCTACCAGGTGATGTTGGAGGTTGAACCTGGTACCTTCTGCATGCAAAGCAGGTGCTCTACCCCTGAGCTACATCCCTTCCCCATTCCCAACACATTTAAACTTCAGTGGTTCACATTAAATGCTGCCTGGATCTCATTGCCTTTCACTGCAGGCAGACACATAATATTTGGTCACTGGTAAACAAGGAGTCTCCATTTCATATCCAACCTGGGAGCAAGTGAGCCATTGATCCTTGAGTGATCCTGAGGGTAGAGATGGGGCGGGTGGGAAGGGAGGCTGACTGGCATTGATTGATGTTCTGATTTCAAGCGGCAAGGAGTGCAAGTTGATCGATTGTCTAATCAAGGCCGCACGGATCATGGCGCTCCCCACAACTGAGAAGGGGAAGCAGCGAGCCAGAGATTAACTCAAGTGCTTAGAACTTCACTTTATGAATAATTGAATCAATGAGCTACACAGGAGCTCAGAATGAAACCGGAGAGCAGGGGAGAAAGAGGAGGAGAGGGAGAGAAGAAGGAAGGGAGTCTTTCAAGCTAAGCAAGATGAGCTGAGCCTTTTATGTCGGAGAATGCAATGCAGCCGCCTCTGATCTCCGGAACGTGACTCCGTTGGCTTGGTGTGGAAGTTGTGCCCCTTGAAATCTATTGTTTTAGCCCCATCCCCTTTTAACTTACAGCTCAGTACTGTTGAAGGGTGCAGCTCCTGCCAATGAGAGCTGTCAGGAAAGTTCTCCTCTGAATCATATATATATGTATGTGTGCTACTGGCAAATGATACAGAGAGAGAGGGGGAGAGAGAGAAGAGGGAAGGGACTTATCTCTTCGTCCGCAATGTTCCAGTCACTGAGGAGATCTAAAGGGGAAATGCAAGGTTCATATGCCCCTAGGGGCTGCTGAAATCAATCCAGCCGCGACTTCAAGTAACCAAGTTCCAAGGCCTTTCTGAAGTGCAGTGCGGGGAGAACATGCATGAGAAGAAAATATATTTGGTCTCACTCTGATGCTCAGGGCAGAGAGTGGGGAAAGGAAAATATGGCAAGGGTTTGCTACCTGAGGAGGTGATTTCATCCACAGGAGCACTTAGGGAGCTGAAGGTTTATAGAATCAGAGTATTGCAGAGTTGGAAGGGACCCTCAAAGGTCATCTGGTCTAACCTCCTGCAATGCAGGAATCCCAGCCAAGGAACTTCAGGAGTTGGAGATGGACGAACCTATCAACTGGGAGTCCTTTCAGGCTCTTGTTTTTTCCCCAATCGTACATTCAGTTCTTCACATTTCAGCAGTTAGGGGTTTTATTTTGTTTCAAAGAAATCCTTATGAGAATTCTTTAGCATTTTAGTGTTTGCTTTTGCATGCAGTTTCGGCAAACATGCACTTTTTTGCAATCATTTCCCTCCCAATATAATGCAATTTTTCTATTTTGTTTTCACTGATATACTGTATGAACCCTTTGTGCTAATATATGCTGGTGCACACATTGCTGGGCTGGAGAACTGCACTGCAGAGTTTAGGAAAGTTTGGATTTTGAAGAATGGCTGTGTTTCATCAGTTCAGATATTGTCTGAGAAACCATGAATGTTTGCCTTTAAATGTGAACTGGGTGGAGAAGAGATCCAAGGTAGAGAGGAAGGAAGGGGGAAGAGGAAACATGAAAGGGTAGGAGGGGCACCTTATAAAAGGCCCAATAACAAGGCTTTGAAGAAAAGATCAAAGCAGTGAGGAAGTTTTGACTAGAGTTGACAGCAAGTAGTTGGGCCCAGTGGTGTGGTAGTCTAGGGTCATGGGGGGGGTGAAGACCCACTACTATTTCTGCAGCAGAATCTGTACCCATTTACCTGAGAGTGAACCCTATACATCTATAGGATTGGACCATAAGGCTGGAACCCTACACTCACCTTTGTGAATAAGTCCCTTTGACTTCATTGGGGCTTCTGGCTAAATAGGCATGCTTATGATCACACTTTAATCAGGAAAAATCCCTACTATTCAGTTTGTCAACCCATTCACCTCAACTCTACATCCCACTTGTTACCTCATCCTATTGGGTCCCACCTGCAACATGGCTGTCTTCCTTCTAGTTCCATCTGCTGCATACCATTCAGGGTACTCCTTTTCTCACTCCTTCCTCCATTAACCTCCCTTGGCAAGCTCCCTTGTAGACACACATGTTCATCCCATCAAATAAATCAGGCTCCGTTTAAGTTCTCTGGCGCTCATCCAGAGCAAGCGATTTCTTTCTGGTTAAATTGGATTCTTCTCTGTGTTGCACCCTGGGAAGGTGGAGATTCCTCTTTAAAAGTCTCATGCAAATGTGTGGGCTTTTGCTGTTGTTCAATAAAGTTGATCATTTCGCTCAGGAGGCATCCATGCAATTTTCCACACCACTGGTTTAAAGATTGTGTCTTGGTAAACCAAAGCGCTCCTTTCTGTCTATATTTATGTTGCAAACAAAGAAACCAACACCAAACAGTGTCATTGTCTCAACAACAACAACAAACCTATTAGCAACTTATTTAAATCAGAGGGAGCCTGAACAAATGATATTCTCTTAATACCTTTCCCCACCCCTTTTTTCTTTTGCAATTCTTCCCCCCTTTCTTCCTCCCCATCTGTGTTGCAGTTCATGTGGCGATTGCCTTGCTGTTGAACGTCTTTCCACACCATTACATTTCCCAATGAAATATGTGAGAATTACCTTGAATGGTAGCAGGAAGCCATCGGAACATAAAACATGCAGAAAATGAATTATTAACTTTCCCATCCAACCTGGTAACGGCTGTTATGTTTTGTATTAGAACACATTAAGGTGGAGAAAATGGGAGGGGGGGGGTGGAAAGAGAGAAATTCCCAGGATGTCAACTTGGCAGCTTTGTGCATAAACAAAAACACAGCAGCTCCGAATTTTAAAACTGAAAACTTGTAGGTGAAAAAGAGATACTCAAAGAGATACTCCACGCTGCACTTTTTTAAAAAATTAACAAGCTGAGAGACTGCTTTTCAAGAAAAACTCTTCCCAAGGTGGTTCACAAAGAAATATCCAACAAAAATAAAATCAGGGGAGTCTATATACATAAAAATGCAAGGCTTTTGTCATGCTGCAGTTCATGTGGCAGCCAATAGGTGGCCATGTCAATTCCCACATGACAATAGAATGTCAGACAAGCAGGTGGGTGAGCGAGCAAGCAGTGTAGGTGGCAGGTGGCCCAGGACAGCTGCTTAAAGGAGGGTGGGAGGCATCCTTTTGTAAATGAGTCTACAGCAAGGTTTAATCGAGGGGGGGCACTTCAGAAAGCATTATGGCAAACCACTATCTGAAGTGTCACACCCTGTATCCATTAAACACAGTAGCAGTGAGATTTAATGGAGGGTGCTTGTTGTTCAGATTGCATTAAAAATAGACATATTAAGAGATCACCACCACCACCACCACCACCACAATTTTATTACTTATACCCCGTCCATCTGGCCAGGCCTCCCCAGCCACTCTGGGAGGCTTTCAACAGGATATTAAAAACACAATAAAACATTAAACATTTAAAGGTTCCCTAAATAGGGCTGCGTTCTCATGTCTTCTAAAAGTCAGATAGTTGTTTATTTCCTTGTCATCTGGGGTGGGGTGTGTTCCATTGGGGGGGGGTGCCACTACTGAGAAGGCCCTCTGCCTGGTTCCCTGTAACCTTACTTCTCACAATGACGGAACCACCAGAAGGCCCTCGGAGCTGGACCTCAGTGTCCGGGCAGAACAATGGAGGTGGAGACACTCCTTCAGGTATACACTAAAACACTGGGTCCCCCCTCCCATAATTTTTTTTAATTTTACTAAGAATGTCATGGAATAAAACAAATAATGAGTATCAGCCACAGGTATAAAGCAAAAGAAAAGAAAGCTAACTGATTTAGAAGTGTGGCAAACTAATTTGACATTGGAAAAGTGAGAAACATGCAGAGAGTGAAATTGACCAAACCATCCATCCCTGTCCTGCTCCCGGGTTTTTAACATTAGCAAAATCAGCAGAAATCAGCAAGTCAAGCCTTTTCTGACACATGGCTTGATTATATTTTGGCTCAGGTTGTCAAATGTCATTTTACTATGGATTGTTGTTTAGTGCCTCACCGTTGCCTTGTTTTATCCTATGTAGTTGTATCTTTATTATTTTAAGCTGCCTTGAGTTTCTTCTTCTTCTTCTAGAGGGTGCAGGGAAGACAGAGTATACATCTTTACAAAAAAATAATAAAAAAATAAGCAAACTCATGTTTTGGGGATTTACTTCCCACTAATGTTATACAGGTATATGCCAATATCCTGCCGAAGGCGCAGGAACAGGAGCCGATAAAATAGTTGGCAGCCCCCAGGCTGAAATGAATCTCACCGGCATAAGAGGCAAACTTCAGAATATGGAGACGCAAGCAGGAACGGTTGGACTCTCAAAGGGTTAAGTTTCGCAGTTCTTGGAAGAACTTATCATGGACTCTGGGGAATGCTAATTGGGCAAATCTGGGAGGTTCCAGGGATCTGTATGACTTGGGCTGGTGATATTGTAACTGGTGATAATTGGGTGCTGACACAGTCTTTAATTAGCAAATTGACACCAGGTGTTCCAAGTTATGAGGAAAGACAATGTGGAAACAGATAGATAGATAGATAGATGATGATAGATGATAGATAGATAGAGATAGATGGATAGATAGATAGGGAAGTTCTTGGCTCGTGAGAAGATGTGAGGAAAGCTTGTAGAATATGAGCTTGCACATCATCATATGAATCTGTCACGTGTTTCTTGGAAGTACATCAGGGGGAGAGAGGAAGAGAAGCTGTTGAGTTTCATTTGTGCTCCCACCCTCCACCCACAAGGTTGATAAACCAACTGTAACCTGTTATTAGTTGTTTAGTTCATCTGACGTTAACCTACTGTGATGGACCAGGGCTAAGGTGGCGAGGGAATTCAAGGAGCCCCAACATGCATAAAACGTTTTTAAACGACTTCCACCATCTGAAGGATTCCAATAGGCCTCTGAGAATGGCTTTTTATGTCTGGAACACCTACATGTTTCGAATGGGTCCAACCAATCCCCAA